CCAAAGTCCCTTTGTCAGTTCCTACCAAGTCCCTTTCTGCCCCTGGCCGTGTTTGCCAACACTGCCACTGGATCGAGGCCCATAGGCCCGACCCCTAAATCCCACGGTCCTCTAGGACTTCCTCACCACACGACTGTGTCCTTAGTCACTACCCCAGAGGACTACTCCTCTTCCTTTCCACAGTCTGGGCCTTTGGGACAACATTTCGGAACACCGTGGCCTTATGCGAGCCACCTAGGTACTCTCCCCACCTTTCGCCTTTAGGTGCTCTAGCCATGGGCTTAGAGCGAGGTTCTGTTGAGCCACGCTTGGTATCCAAGTAGGTAATGCCACCCACACTTGGACTGGGAGCATTGGCCAGTCGATCTCCCGGGGGAACTAGAGCCGGCTCTTGAACACTTCACCAAGCTACCCCACTTGTCAGTCCGTATTCACTCTAGTCTTGGACTTCCCAATGGTCAGTTCATCACCCAACACTGGGTCTGGCCTTCCTGGGCCAAACTGGCCTTTCCTGGCCAAACTGGCTCCATTGCAGTCCTCCCCCTACTATACTTTTGGAGCTCACCAAACCCCCCAGGGTCTGGGAGACGAATGCTTTGGGCTTTCACCCTCTCAGACTCGAACTTGGACTCGGACTCGAACTCGAACTCGGACTTGGACTCGGGCTCGGGCTCGGTCTCAGCCTTGGCCTCGGTCCCGGTCTTGGTCCCGGTCCCGGTCCCGGTCTCGGTCTCGGTCTCGGTCTCGGTCCCGGTCTCAGTCTCGACCTCGGACTCCATCTCGGGTCCTTCTTGGACTCCATCTCGGACTCCATCTCGGGCTCTGTCTCGGTCCATCTCGGACTCCATCTCGGACTCCGTCTTGGTCCACCTCGGACTCCATTTCGGGTCCATCTCGGGTCCATCTCAGACTCCTCCACGTGTCATGTGTTGGTCCTTTTTGGGTCCCTTTTTGGAGCCTTGCTTATTGCTCGCTTCGTGCTCGCTCCTTGAGCACTTTGTTGGGAGTTCCACTCCCGCTCTCGACCTTCCAAGTTAGAGCTTTTAGTCCAAACGTGTTACACCCGTTTGGGCTTTCGCTTCGGCCACTACCACGTGGCACCCTTTTCGGCTCCACTTTGGGGCCTAGGGATTTTGTGTCTCACACTAACAAATATTAAGGGACAAATTTCAATATCACAGGGGTTCCCAACACTAGTAAGTGTAAGTCAACATTATGAGTTTCTCATCATTGTGTTAAGTATGTTTAACTAAATGACAACTTAGGATTTCCTTCCTTAATGCCCTTCCGGTTTAAGTGCACATATCATGATTAGTTTCTCAACTAGCTTAGGAAAAGACTAATAACAGGTCTAGCAATACCAACCTCCTACCGTCATGGCAATAAAGAAAGAATATCTAAAAGGACTAGCTAATAAATAATTTTTGATACCCAAAATCATATTTGTAACATCAATCTCTGTAACGCACCCATCTCTCTCCCTTTAAGCCAATTGGAAAAGGGGCAATTGCTTGATAAGAGAGCTCTTAATAGTTATTTTATCCCTATTTATCCCCTAAGATTCCAAAAATCCACAGTGACAGTATATCTAATCTCATCCTATGATCACATGCGCTACAATCTCGAACTTAGTCTTGGAGTCGATCTCAAACTCAATCTCATTTAATGAACTCTTTATTATTCCAGTTATGATTTCGAGGATCCTTTAACTTACGACACTTTGGGGAGTTAGTTACTTACACCTTTGTGATTAGTGATTGTTTATAAACTTATTTAAGGATTATTAATATTTTGCTTAGGTCAATGATGATTTTAGCAGGAATAGGTTTGCTTATTAAATGGTATTTCAAAGGATTTCAGTTGGAATTATATGATTTTTGGTTTTCTTAAGCAAAATCTGTAGGGAGACTGGGATGGTAGTGGATATACCTAGAATACATTTGAATATTCTAGGATATTCTACCATCTAACGGTTGTTATTCCTTTAGATTAATCTTGTATTTATAATTTATAAACATGTTTATAATTTATAAACTTTCCTAAACACTTCCTAGTATATTTTTTTTATTCTACCAAATATACAATAAGATTAATTTTAATTTATAAATTATAAACATATTTATAATTATTGATCAATTGGATTATTCAATGACACTACTATTAAGTAAACCAAGTGTTGTTGCATGCAATGTGCAACAAATTTTTTATGTTAACATATCAATTCCACCTCTTTTAATGTTGTTTTGTTGTGTTTAGTTTGTGGTGTTGGATTGTGTTGAGTCTAAAAGGTCGTGATTCTATAACTGGATAACATAATGGTGTTATTAAGAGGAAAAACCACACACTTGTAAATGTTACTCATCCTTTATTTGTTAATATGCACTTTGATTGAACATTTGTCAAAAAGCCACAACAATGCATATACAAAATCATCTTACCACTATTGAATGGCAAGACCTTTGAGGAATTTTGGATAGGCTCAATTCTTAATATTTCCCACTTCAGGGTCTTTGTGTGTGTTGTTTATGCATATATCCTAGATTAACTTCCGAAAAAGCTCAATAACAAAAACAAAAATTTCATTCTCAAGATGAAGCTATTGGGAAGAAAGCTTATGGGATCTTGAATCCTCATAAGACACTTATGAGTATAGGCATGGTGTTAAATGAGGATGATTTCCCTACTTATTCAACTACTCCACAAGATCTTTCCTTCATTCATAAATATGTCCCAATGATCCCACTACTTGGGGAATGGACCACCATTGCATAATCCAAGTTATGCCCTACTACCTAACCCTCCTGTAGGGGATCTCCCCATTTCAAATATGGCTGGTCCAAGTGTCCCTATAGCTGATGTTTGATGTTGTTGTGCTTCTATTGCCTCTGCCACCTCATCAGTGTTGTGGCATGCTTGATCCCATGCTAATACTAGACCACCCTTGTGACCATTGGCCCTCTCTGAAGGTCTGAGAAAACATTGAGACTTTTGTGATCTTCTCAATGCTAGCATTCCACTTACATATGATAAGGCAGTAGGTAATTTTGGATGGAAGCTATTGCAGAGGAAGTTGCTTCTATTCGAGCTAATGGCATTTACGTCCAAGTTGATTTAGCTCAAACAGGACATTGTGTCTTAAATCCAAAATGGATCTTATAGCAAAGATGGCCGTTATAAAGCTCAGTTGATTGTGTGAGGCTTTTGTCAAATCCATGGTCTGGACTATGATGAAACTTTCTTGCTAGTTATGAAAATGGGCTAGCCTTTGCACTCTCTTTGCCTTTGCCACTGCTCAGAAGTGGCAAATCCACCATATAGATGTCAAAAAGCATTTCTCAATGGGGATTTAAAGGAGGATGGATATCTACAGGCATGGGTTTGAGGATGACATTGCCCCTGCTGGTGTTGTATGGCAATTATAGAAAGCTTTGCAAATATAAGCTGTGGTGTTTGGTATTAGAAATTTGATGTTGTATTACACACTCAAGGATTTTGTCATCACAACATGTATATTAAACATAGTATGCTTATTGTTGCTCTCTATTATGATGATTTACTCATCACTATGATGATCCAAATACCATTGCTGCTTTGAAAGTTGCTCTCAGTTAGCAATTTCAGATGATCAAGTCTCTTACTTTCTTGGCTTTGAGATTTGCATCCAACAGTTTCACACTCAGTCAGCGACAAAAGGTCAAGGGCTTGCTTGACTGGTTTGGTTTGTGAAGACCCTAATGCTTGTCAGTGCCATAGACTTCACTGCTGATCAGTTCAGCATGCCCTGGGCAAGTGGGACTCCCTATCATAACTTCATTGTTTGCCTCACATACTTGGCTCTCTTGAATTGTCACCACCTATGCAACCATTGCTTTAAGTCAGTTCAACACATCACTGACCAGGCTGCTAAATGTATTGCCTAATGTCTCCAATTATGGCAATGACATTGCTAGGTAGCACTTATAATGATCTCTCTCCCACTATGAAAGCTGTGCCTTGGATGCAATCACGCTCTTGGCCGTGCTCTCGGCTTGCACGCCCGCCGCCCTGCTGCCCGACTATGGTGTGGCCTGGCATGGACGTGGATCCACCATGACGTGGCTCGCGGCGAGGTGGCGGTAGAAGGCCGGAGCAATATCTAGGCAGGGCAGCTGGGATAGATCCAGGGCTGCCAGGGTGGTAGAGGAGTGCGGGGTCAAACAGATTGATCGGGCCACGGGGAAAAGGAGGAGATGCTGTGCTGCCACGGCAAGAAGCTGGCGATTGCGCTCGTGATTGCATCATTGACAATCAATGTTGCAGGGAGAAAAATGGCGCTGAATTTTCATGTGCGTGATTACTGAGAAAGTTAGCCCAAAGAAGAGTGTGTTCTTTGAGCAATCCCAAACCATTGCAATCATTGACGGCATAGCGGATCAGGTCACATCCCATTGGAAAAACCTGAGGAGGATCGAGTCCACGGGTGGGGAACTCGAGGACAAGCACTTCTGCTGTAACAGTGGGCATGACAGAATGGACAAGGAGCCAACCACAACTGCAAAAGAAAGAACCACAAGAAGGACAATGCAGAGGATATTGGCAGCTAACCTGTTAGGCAACACGGAGGATATTGGCAAGCAGCGGAAGTTAATTACCATGGAGATGATCATCAGGACAGCATAATTTGAGTCAAGGCTCATTGACACTTGGCTATTAATCTATTTATATATTTATCTCCTGTTTTTGTTTTGGCAGGCTTGCCCATGGACAAGCAAGGGAACTGCCGTGTACTTGAATCCGTCGGTGGGTCACCAGACCATGCAAATAGTATATGAATGATGAACTACGGATATCTTCAAAAGATGCAAAAATGTCAAAGGTGATAATGAAGTTGCTGGAAAAAGGTGGAAGAAGTAAAAGTTTCGTCTTGAAATTTTGCAGGCATGAGGTGTACGTGATTATATAAAATCTTTGACTATATAGACCACAGGCCGTGGCTCATGACCTTTGCCAGGGCAATCGTATCAGACTTTAGGTAGAAGAAAGAAAGCACAAGCAGCGATGGAGTTTTGATCAAAGGTAGCAAAGAAAGAAGCATAGTTCTTGCAAAACATGCCTTGGATCACTGTTGTAGCATCGTTCTTGATCCCAGTGCTGGGAACTCTGTGGATCTGGAGGTATTTCTCACGGGAACGCTATGATCCACCGCTGCCTCCCGGAAGCATGGGACTCCCACTTGTGGGCGAGACGCTCCACATTTTGCACGCCATGAAAACGAGCACGCTATGGGAGTTTTACGGGGCTCGGGAGAAGAAGTATGGCCCTATTTACAAGACACACATCTTCGGCCGCCCCACGATCGTCGTGAGCCCTCCTCTGGGATTCAAGCTTTTGTTCTCCAGCCATGGCAAGCTCGTCGAGAGCTCCTGGCCGCAGCCCATGAGGACGCTCTTGGGCGACAAGTGTTTGTTCTTCATGGAGGGCCAGAAAGCCAAGAGCTTTCGTCACATTCTCCTGGCGTTCCTCGGCCCGGATGCCATACGGCGGTATGTAGAGAGGGCGAGCGTGATCATCCAAGAACACATTGACAAGTTTTGGATGGCTGGATCGGAGGTGAAGGCTTACCCCCTCGTGAAGAAGGCCTTGTTCTCGCTCGTCTTTAGCTTGTTCTTGAGCATCTCGGACGAGGAGGAGGAGAGGGAGCTCCTGGCTCCTTTCCAGGATTTCTTGCAAGGGTTGCTTGAGCTGCCGATCGACTTGCCAGGGACAATGTTTCGTCGCGCAAAAGTTGGACGGGCGAAGATCTTTAAGAAGCTGGACGAGTACATAAGCAAGAGAAAGATCGAGCTAGAAACTGGCAACGCATGGCCTCAACAGGATTTTCTCAGTGTTCTCTTGACAACCAAGGGAGAGGATGGAGAGCCCATGACCAAGGAAGAGATCAAACAAAACATTCTCATGTTGGTCATGTCAGCCCACGATACCACCGTAAGCTCCTTGTTAAGTTCCATGAAATACATAGGAGAGAATCCATGGTGCTACGATCGACTTAGAGAAGGTAATGGCGTCGTTCTTAAGATTTCCAGATCTAACTCTTGCTCGATTGTAGAACACGTCTCCATTGCGCTTGCCAAATCTCCAAAAGAGCCACTCACTCACAGCGATTTGCAAAAGATGGACTACACTTGGAGGATCGTCCAGGAAGCCATGCGCTTGGCTCCTCCCGCAGCTGGAAACCTCCGAAGGGCGACCACTGAATTTACCATGGATGGATTCACGGTTCCAAAGGACTGGCAAGTAAGTTTACGATCAAAGTTTCTATGCACTCCATTCTAAAGTTGTATCTCTGGTCTTCGCAGCTTAACTGGACTGTGTTTCGCAGCCACAAGAAAAAAGAGTTCTTTGAGGAGCCGGAGACGTTTAATCCAGATCGATTCGATCGCCCATTGCTTCCAAACACTTACGTTCCATTTGGTGGAGGCCCTCGCATTTGTCCCGGATACGAGCTCGCCAAGATGCAAGACCGCATTTTTCTACACTACCTTGTCACAAGGTTTAAGTGGACGTTGCTGGATCCAAACGAGGCCATCCACATGACCCCACTCGCTCTTCCCGTCAATGGCCTCGGCATGAAACTCGTATCCAATCCAGTAAAAATCTGACTTTTCGAAGGCTCTGAACGATGGATGATCATATCATAAGAGTAAATAAAGAACAAGTCTTTGGCACGAAGGTCAAATAAAGAAGCAACGCTACCGAAGAAATCGGACACGCAAGGGGGGCGGCATTGTCTTCACAGGTAATTTCGATTTAAAAGCTCCCAGGTCTAGAGAAAGAGTGAAAAAAATGCTAGAGTTTCCAGGAGTAATAGCGGTGGTGAGCTTAGTACTGGCCGGGATATGGATCTGGAGGGCTTTCTCACAGAAATCCTATGACCCAACTACGCCTCCGGGAAGTTTTGGGCTCCCGTTCCTGGGAGAAACTCTCCATCTTTTGTACAGCATGAAAGCAAACGATCTATCGGGATTCTACGAGTCTCGTGAGCGAAAGTATGGCCAGGTTTTCAAGACACATCTGTTTGGCCACCCCACGGTAGTGGTAAGTCCTCCTCTTGGATTCAAGTTCTTGTTCTCCAACCATGGCAAGCTCGTCGAGAGCTCCTGGCCAGCTCCGGTAAAGATGCTCATGGGTGACAAGAGCTTGTTCTTCATGGAGGGCCAGAAAGCCAAGAGCTTTCGTCACATACTCATGGCGTTCCTTGGTCCCGAGGCAATGCGGAGGTATGTCGGGAGGTCCAGCTCCATCGCTCAGGCACACATCAAGAAGTTTTGGCTGGATGAATCGGAAGTTCGAGCGTACGTTCTCCTAAAGAAGGCGATGTTCTCGGCGGTGTTTAACTTGTTCTTGAGCATACAAAACGAGGAGGAGGAGAGAGAGCTCTTGGTTCTATTTGAGGAGTTTTTGCACGGTATGCTCGAGTTGCCGATCAACTTTCCAGGGACCAAGTTTCGGCGGGCAAAGCTTGCGAGGCACAAGATCTTTGAGAAGCTGGACAAGTATATAAGCAAGAGAAAGGTGGAGATCCAGGAAGGGAAGGCGTCGGCTGAGCAAGATTTGCTCAGCGTTCTCTTGACAACGAGGGGAGAAGATGGAGAGCTCATGAGCGCGGAAGAGGTAAAGCAAAACATCCTCATGATGGTATTGGCCGGGCACGACACCACTGCTAGCACTCTGGCGGTCTCCATAAAATGCATCGCTGAGAATCCTTGGTGTTACGATCGACTTAGACAAGGTTTTCACGATCATTCTTAGACGTCTTCTATGATATCCTAAAGTTTCATGACCAGAGCATCTTGCCATAGCTGCTGCGAAGGATTCGAGCGAGCCACTCCGAGTAGAAGATCTCCAAAAGATGAACTACACCTGGAAAGTTGTTCAGGAAGCCATGCGTCTGCTCCCTCCAGCGCTGGGAAACACGCGGATAGCGATCACGCAAATGACCATCGAGGGCTTCACAGTTCCAAAAGATTGGCGAGTAAGTTCCTCCACTCGGTCATCTCAAGACGTAAAATCCTTTTTTGATTGATGGCCAGTTCATGTGGAGCGTCTTCCAGAGCAACAGGAGGAGCGCGTTCTTCCCCGAGCCAGACAAGTTCGATCCGGAGCGATTTGATGCTAGCTCCGGCTTGATCCCATACACGTACGTTCCATTTGGCGGAGGCCCTCGCATATGCCCCGGGAACGAGTTCGCCAAGATGCTCGTCCGCGTGTTCTTGCATCATCTCCTCACCCAGTTCCAGTGGTCGCTCGTCGATGCAAAGGAGCACGTCCAAATGGCTCCAATCGCAGCTCCGGCCAACGGCCTCCACATCAAACTCTCCAAAAATTCAATATAATCTCTCGCGGTTCCCTGGATGGAAAACATAGCATCATACTTTCCCACCAATTTTATACGGCGGTACGTTGGGACGAGCGTGATCATCCAAGATCACATCGAAAAGTGGATACGTCGTCTTGTTCTCGCTCGTCTTTAGCTTGTTCTTGAGCATCTCGGAGGAGTGGGATTGGTTTGAGCTGCCGATCGACTTGCCAGGGATGATGTTTCGTCGCGCAAAGGTTCGAAGAGAAACTGGCCTCAACAGGATTTTCTCAGTGTTCTCCTGATAACCAAGGGAGAGGATGGAGAGCCCATGACCGAGGAGGACAGCAAACAAAATATTCTTATGTTGGTCATGTCAGCCCACGCTACTGAGATCCATGGAAACCATGGTGCTAAGATCGACTTAAAGAAGGTGACTGCTTTGTTTTTACGTTTGCAGACCTTACTTACAACTCTTTCTCTCCATTGGGGAATCGCTATTCCTTGATCTCCCAATGAGCCACTCACTACACAGGGATATTTGCAAAAGATGGACTGACCGTCCAGGAAGCTATATGCGCATGGCTCCTCCCGCCGCTGGAAACCTTCGAAGGGGATCACTGAGTTTACCATGGATGGTTCAAGGCCTGGCAAGTAAGTTCTGCACTCCATTCTTCGGAGCTTAACTGTTTCGCTGCTACAAGCAAGAAGAGTTTTTTGAGGAGCCGGAGAAGATCGGTTAGATCGCCCGTTGCTTTCAAACACCTACGTTCCATTGAGCGGAGGCCCTCGCGTTTGTCCCGGATACGAGCTCGCAAGATGCAAGACCGCATTTTTCTACACCACCGTGTTGGACGCTGCTGGATTCAAACGAGGCCATGACCCCACTCGCTCTCCCCGTCAATGGCCTCGTCAAATAAAGATTCGATATGCTAGATAAGAGTCAGGACATGTAGGGCGGCATTCGATCCTTCACAAGTACCTTCAATTTCAAGAAGAAAGAGAAAAAAATGCTAGAATTTCCAATAGTAGCAGTGGTGAGTTTAGTACTGGCCGGGATATGGATCTGGAGGGCTTTCTCGCAGAAATCCTATGACCCACCGACGCCTCCGGGGAGTTTTGGGCTCCCATTCCTGGGAGAAACTCTCCATCTCTTGTACAGCATGAAAGCAAACAATCTATCGGAATTCTGCGAGTCTCGCGAGAGAAGGTATGGTCCGGTTTTCAAGACACACCTGTTTGGCCACCCCACGGTGGTGGTAAGCCCTCCTCTTGGATTCAAGTTTTTGTTCTCCAACCATGGCAAGCTCGTCGAGAGCTCCTGGCCAGCGCCAATGAAGATGATCATGGGTGACAAGATCTTGTTCTTCATGGAGGGCCAGAGAGCGAAGAGCTTCCGTCACATACTCATGGCGTTCCTTGGCCCCGAGGCAATGCGAAGGTATGTTGCGAGGGCCAGCTCCATCGCCCAGGCACACATCGAGAAGTTTTGGCTGGATGGATCGGAAGTTCGAGCATATTTACTCGTTAAGAAGGTCTTGTTCTCGGTGGTGTTTAACTTGTTTTTGAGCATACAAAACGAGGAGGAGGAGAAAGAGCTCTTGGTTCCATTTGAGGAGTTTTTGCACGGCTTAGTCGAGCTGCCCATCAACTTTCCAGGGACCAAGTTTCGGCGGGCAAAGCTTGCGACGCGCAAGATCTTTGGGAAGCTGGACAAGTTCATAAGCAAGAGAAAGGTGGAGCTTCAGGAAGGGAGGGCGTCGGCTGAGCAAGATTTGCTCAGCGTTCTCTTGACAACGAGGGGAGAGGATGGAGAGCTCATGAGCGAGGAAGAGGTAAAGCAAAACATCCTAATGATGGTCATGGCCGGGCACGACACCACTGCTAGCACTCTGGCGGTCTCCATGAAATGCATCGCTGAGAATCCTTGGTGCTACGATCGACTTCAACAAGGTTTTTACGATCATCCTCTATGATCTAACTCTCAAAGTTTCATGACCAGAGCATCTTGCCATAGCTGCTGCGAAGGATTCGAGCGAGCCGCTCCGTGTAGAAGACCTCCAAAGGATGAACTACACCTGGAAAGTTGTCCAGGAAGCCATGCGTCTGCTCCCTCCAGTGCTGGGAAACACGCGGATAGCGATCACGCAAATGACCATCGAGGGCTTCACAGTTCCAAAAGATTGGCGAGTAAGTTCCTTCACTCGATCATCTCAAGACCTTCTCTCATGATCATTGATGGTCAGTTCATGTGGAGAGTCTTCCGGAGCAACAGGAGGAGCGCGTTCTTCCCCGAGCCAGACAAGTTCGATCCGGAGCGATTCGATGGGAGCTCGGGCTTGATCCCCTACACGTACGTTCCATTTGGTGGAGGCCCTCGCATTTGCCCCGGGAACGAGTTCGCCAAGATGCTCCTCCGCGTGTTCTTGCATCATCTCCTCACCCAGTTCCAGTGGGCGCTCCTCGATCCAAACGAGCACATCCAAATGGCTCCATTCGCACTTCCGGCCAACGGCCTCCACATCAAACTGTCCAAAAATCCAATATAATCCCTCGCGAGGTTCCCTGGATCTTGGAAACCATAAACTATATCACTCGATCTCGGAACCATAGCATCACACTTTACCACCATTTTTATAACGTCCTTCCACGAATCAAGCACGTTGCATGTATCTTTCTTGTGGAAGCTTCAAGATCTTGGAGAGAGTAATCACTCGCCTTAAAAGAATGCCTCAAAACTTAATCCACACGCGCGCCGCCACCTTACACATACGTGTATGCCTACGGTCATACGGATGCGAAATCTGACTGACGGCAGCCGCCACTTATTGCCGTCTCCTATCCTAACGATCTTGTGTTTTCACATTTTCCTGTTGACTGGTGAAGAGCTCGAGATCTTCTCAAGAAAAGCTCTATCTTTTCTTTCTTCTCTCTCTCTCTCTCTCTCTCCTGCCGCCATAGCCAGCGAGCTCCAGCAGATGTTCGACAGCGCCAGATCGCTCACAACTAAAAGTTTTATCGCGTGGCAGCGAGTTTTGGGCGAGACGTTCTCTCATCTGGGGAGAAGAAATTCGATGGACAGTAACGTATCCAGTCAGTGACACAGAGCTCAGGCTTTTAATTCTCCTCTTTGGATTTCCTCTTCCTCCTCCTCTCTGCCATAGTTCTTTCCATTTGGCGCCTTGCAATTGCTGGCTTGTTGTATGTGTTCTAGTTGGCGATCAATCAATGCCACCACCACCAGCGGCCAGCCGCAAGACAAATCCTGATCGAACACCATCAATCCTGGGGCTCCATGCTCCTCAATCAATTTGTCTCCAGGCCCTCCTCGCGTCTCTTCTCTCGCCTTGATGATTTTCTTCCATTTCCAGAAGAAAGCGAGGAAATTTACACCACTCTCTCGCCGGCGTCACTGTTCCGTTTCGTGAACATCACCCGCAATTAAGAACAAGGTGACGAAGCTTTCTTGCTTCTTCTCCATCCATTCTTTGCTCATCCCTTTTGCTTCCACGCTTCCAAAGTTTCCAAACGGACGAGATCGAGAACCAAGTATACGTGGTCTAAGAAAAATCTCGTTTTTCTTTTCTCATCCAAAGCGTACTTCACTTCTAAAGCTCGATTAGCCGCGAAGAACAGTAGGAAAAGAGCTCTTTTTCACCTGACAAGGCGGCGCTTTGCTCCGTTCGTATCACTGACCACCTCGAGCCGACGCTACTTTTTTCCCAACTTTTTCTTCTCGGGCTTCTCATCATATATTCTGCTGCTGCTGATTCTCTGTGCTCAACGCCTGGAGCCACAAATCCGTGAAAACTTGCACGATCACCTCGTGAAACCCCGGCGGATTGAGGTAGAGGTAGCACTCGAGCAGCTCCTCCAAGTCCGCGGCCTTGTTGAGCCGCTTCTCGAAGATCATCTGGACCATTGACTGCCGGAAATCCTCGTATGGATTGCTGGAGACGAGCATCACCGGGACGCTCTCCCGGACTTTCCCTCGTACCAGATCCTTGGGCTTCTTCTTCTTCTTCGTCCTCGCGTGATCGTCTAGAGCTGGAGCACTCTCCGCGCCAACCTTGTGCCTCGGAAACTCTGGAAGAACTTTGCTCGCCACCTCACGGCCATCCTCCCAAAACTTTGCGCTGGATTCGAGCGAGCTTGCCGATGATATCCTCTTGCCATCGCACCGAGGAGGAGGAGGAGGCATCTTTGACGACGAACTTAGAAGCAAGCCTAGCTCATCAAACTCCGACAATGCTCCCGTCATCTTGTTGCCGCTAGCGTGATTTCTCGAGAGATGAAAAGAAGAATTGTGATGGTGGTGGTGGTGGTGGTGGTGGAGGTGGTGGCGATGGTGGTGGCCCCTCGTGCCGCCGCCGCTGCTGCCGCTAGTGCTTGCGCTACTGCTACTAGAAGATTTCTTGGGCCTGGGAGTCTGGCCCGCGTGATTCTTTAATCCCACCTCCTCGATCGCTTCGTGCCGCTGCTCGTCCTCCAGAGTCGTGGCACGGTGGACGAGCTTGCTCGAGCCGGGCGCGCTGCTGTCGTCGCTTGCGAACAAAGAATGCTCCTTGTCCCACGCCAGAGCCTCCGGGCCCAAGCTGGCATCCCCGGACGAGGTACTCAGCCGGAATGTATGCGTGGATGATCCTTTCCTCTCCCTCTCCGACGAAGATGGATCGCTAGTAACCCGCGCGGCCTGGCCGACGATCAATACTTGTTCCTCCATCGCGGAGATCTCCGAATTCGCGGGAGCTCTCAGCAGCCTTGGAGAGGATTGGCTCTTCTTTCTCTTCTTGAGAACCACCTTCTTCTTCACCACTTTGCCACTGTCCACTGCGGCAATCACGCTCCACAAGCCCTCTCGCTCCCACATTTCCTCCTCCTGGCGAGACGCGACTACCATGGGCGCTGCTCGAGAGCTCGCTGCTCCAACAGGCTTCTTGCTCAATCCCTTGACGCGCTTGTACTGGCAATTCTCGCGGACAATGGCTTCCTCTCGCGAGCAGCAGCTGTATCCAAACACCGGCTTCCTGTTCTTCTTCTTTGCCTTCGCGGGAGCTGGAGCCGCTGGAGCTGGAGCGATGAGACTCCTCTCCTCCTCGGGCTCTTCTTCCCGATTGGAATCGCTGGTGAAAGAAGAAGAAGATTTCTTGCTCGCTGCCGGCGCTACCACTGAGGATGGCGCCACGGGCTTGACGCGATGCGCTCGGAGAAGGAACACTCTAGAGATTACATTGGTGAACTTGAATCGCAGCCTCCTCCTCCCCATTGCCCTGCTACCTGCGAGTCTTTCCCCTCTTCGTTTCCCTTCGTTCAATCAATCAATCAAGCGATCAATCGATCGTGTCCCAGAGCTCTCCACCTAAATATTCCCCAGCATTCTTCCCTGCCCCCCCGCGGCTAAGAACTAGAGATTTACTGTACCATCGCCAGTGAAATGTGGAGCGCAATCAACACGGCGGCAATGCCACTCGAGATTTGGAGATCCCACGAAAGTCCACACGCACGCATCGATCGAGCTCTCCACTCCCCTCCCCTGTTCCTCATTCCCTTTGGCGCCAAGCTGCTCGTCCTCTTCGCCCCTTCCCCGTCGCTGTCGATAACACAGTAGAAGAAGACGCTTAATAACCAAGAGCCCTAACCAGGACAGAATATCCGCCCAGACAGAATATTCGGGAGCCAAACGGAAAGCTCCGCTTGACAGAATATGCCATCGTCCCCTTCCTAGAAACTTGGAGCTTTCAGGAAGTGGCGAGTGCGGGCGATTGGAGGGCCTCCACGATCTTGTAGCATCTCTCGCACAGCGTGGAGTGGAGCGTGAAGCTTCCCACGGCGGGCGAGTACTTCCAGCACCTCTCACATTTCTGTCCCTCGGCTCGCTTCACGCCAATCCAGGCACGGCCGCCGCTTCCCTCCAGCTTGCAGCTCCCCGTGTATGCACAGTCTGCGTCTTCGCAATCGACAACTTCCACCTGATCGAGAAAGAAAAGAAGCGTTATTTTTTTCTCCTGGTTGGTCCTGTGCGAATCGAAAGAACATCTAACGAGGAAGATCTTACCTGTGACGTCAAGAATATAACGTGTAGCTTATCGACGGTGCCATCCTCGGAGCCGGCCATGGCTTGGAGTGTGGAGTGGAGGAGTGCGTCGTCCTCCCCTCCCAAGTGAAGGCAAACCTTTGCGTCGAGGTTTGCTCCTATCAGCTTTCCCATCCTTGCTGATTCCAAGACTTTGTTAACTTCCACCCGAAGCTGTGCATGCAAACGAGCGCCACTGCTTATTTGCAAAGAGAGTTTTAAGACACTCACCTCTAGAAGAAGTGACCATAGCTTCTTGTCACGATCGGAAATCGTTCGCCATCTCGGGTCTACTTCGGGCCACCCCGCCTCAAACACGCTCTCGGCTTTGGAGCCGTCTGGTAGAATGTACGAGAAGGGGAGGTGTTGCCATGCGTCCTCTGCCAAGTGTGGGACAACGGGTGATATTCCACGGGCCAGATACAGCAAGAGGGAAGCTAGAACCGCTTGGCAGCTTCTTCTTGTAAAGCTATCAGTGCCCCTGCAGGAAAACTGATGAGAAATGATGGAAGATACAAACGAAACAAGCTTGCTCACCCCACGTATAATCTGTCCTTCGAAATGTCCAGATAGAAGTTGGACAGATCAAGCACCGCATACCGTTGCACCGACTGCATTCAAGTCGAAATCACAGAGTTAATAGCTTTGGCGGAGCTTGTATCGCAACCTGGAAGAATTTTCCAAACTGGTACTTGTCTAGGCTGTCCTTGAGGCTATCCATTACGCTGGCGAGCTGGAAGAGAGTGTACTTATCTATTCCAGGAAGGTCATCGTACTCGATCTCAAGCTCTGGCTGAAGATAAAACGAAACAGTAAAAAACCAGAAAAGTTGCGGAGCTTTTACATACTTTCCAGTCATGAAGGTTCGAGAGCAAATATCTGAGTGTTCCTCGCAGTTTGCGATAAACATCTGCCGTCTGTTTGAGAATCTGTGGCCCGATTGCTACGTCCCCCGTGTAGTCCACGCTAGCAACCCAGAGGCGCAACACATCCGCTCCATAAGCCGGTTGTTCCTGTAACAATCAATCAGTGATTCATGGCGATTTCGTTTTCTGTAGTTACCTTTTGGTTCTTTCCCCCTTCAATCACGCTACGCGGGTCCACTACATTGCCGAGTGATTTACTCATTTTCACGTTTTTTTCATCCAAAACAAATCCATGCGTCAACACTTGACGATAAGGAGCTACTCCTGACAAAAAGAAAAATCCAAGCCGTTACGAGCATGTTTCAAACTTTATTGCTGGCCCACCTTTAGTAGCAACACTCGTGAGCAAGGAGCTCTGAAACCATCCTCTGTGTTGATCACTTCCTTCTAGATAAACATCTGCGGGCCATCTCTTCGTGCCTAGAACGGATGCCCAAGACGTTCCTGGACGTGCACAGGGACGTGTCAGCATGATCTTCAAACAGCAAAATCGGCAAACTCAACCTGAATCGAACCACACATCCATTGTGTCGGTCCCTTTCCTGTAATTGCTTGCTTTTGCTTTATAAGTGTCTGGAAGGAGGTCCTCCGTGGTCAGTGACCACCATGCATCACTTCCTTGTTGAGCAATTATGGCTACAATAAATGCACTTTCAGCAACGGTATCTCAAACCTTATAATTGTTCTACTTACCTTGAACATGAGAGATTGTCTGTTCGTTGAGGAGCGGTTCACCAGTGTCTACATGATAAAAAACTGGTATTGGTACACCCCAGGCTCTTTGTCTCGATATACACCATTCTTTTCTCCCGCTTACCATTGACGTGATCCTATTTTCTCCCTGCAAGCTAGAAAAAACTAGAGTTACAAGCACAGCATCAGTAAAACAGGTACCTGTGAGGGAATCCAATCAACGTTTTTTATTGCGGCCAGAGCAAGTGGCATGAAGCCTTCAACCGAAGCAAACCATTGTTCTGTAGCTCTGAAAATTGTCGGCTTCTTTGTTCTCCAGTCATACGGGTACTTATGAACTATACGAGAGTCAATCCTCGGAAACATTTGTAAATTGTTCTTACCGTAAGCCTCTTCCATCAGCAGAGACGAGTTGGCATCCAGTGCCTTTATGACTGCCTCGTTACCGTCGCTTAGTACGCTCATCCCAGCGAACTCATTTGCTTCGTCCGTAAAGTTCCCGTTGTCATCCACTGGTGACAACATAGGAAGACCATACTTTTGACCAGTCACAAAATCCTCTTGACCATGTCCGGGTGCTGTGTGCACCAAACCGGTTCCTGAATCTGTCGTAATATAATCTCCACCTATAACAATCACGCCTTCTCGATTTTCCAAAGGGTGCTTGTACCTGCAAAACGATGTTTCAATGCAGAGAAAATTTAACCCTTTAGCAAACCTGCAAAACTCCAAGGCTGATCCCGTACAACTGCCCTTGACAACAAGTTGAACATTCCACTTGTCTTCGAGTGATGACACCAAGTCAGCCGCAACAATCAGATGGCTCACGACAGGCTTTAAGAGCCCATTCCCGTATTTTCGTCCAGCTTTAGTCGATTTTTTACCTCCAAGTGAAGAGTCGTCGTTGTTAAAAACAACTTCCACAACTGAGTACATGAGTTTATCATTGACAGCAACACCTAGACGAAATAAAGGAAGAAATATAAATCATGTTTTGAAATAGTTATCCATACCCGTATTCCCGGGAATAGTCCAAGGAGTTGTAGTCCAAATAGCGACACCCAGGCTTGATAGAAGATATTCAAGTTCTTTGGGAAACTTGTCTGATGCAAATGTCATCTTAAACACAGCGTACATGCTTCGAGAAGTGTGACCTTCAGGATACTGCGATGAGTTATTGAAAGAAATTCAGCCCAAGGCGAAGAAATGTACCTCGAGCTCAGCTTCAGCAAGAGCTGTACCAGACGACGGACTCCAATGAACGGGTTTACGACCCCTATAAATGTATCCATTTAAAACCATTTGACAAAATACACCGATCTGCCAGCACGAAATAAGAAGCGAACTAGAGGGACTAAAATAACGTACTCACCTGAGCAGCTTCGTATGCGGGTTGCAGTGTGAGATAGGGACTGTTCCATGAACCCCAGACTCCATATCTCTACACACAAAAGCAAACGAAAATAAAGGTAAGGAACCTTCGGTGATGGATTCGTCAAAACACGAAAACAAACCTGGAAAGAGCTGCGCTGCTGATCAACTGTTTTCAAGGCAAACTCCGCCGCCTTTTTTCTTAGCTCAATCGGAGAGAGTTTCATGCGCGCCTCGGCGTCGATGGATTGCAGCACTAGTCGAGAAACCATTCAAATAATGTGATATTCGACACAACAAAGCGAGATTACCTTTGAGTTCGATAGGCAGACCATGACAGTCCCAGCCAGGAACGTAGAAAATCTTTCGTCCTTGAAGTAGCTGATAATACCATGAAGTCACAAAATTTGGATACCAAGCTAGGCATTTTACATACTTGGTAGCGGTTGATGAAGTCCTTCAAGATTTTATTCAAGGCGTGTCCCATATGCAAATCGCCATTAGCGTATGGAGGACCATCGTGAAGCGTAAATGGTTCCTGGAGCAACAAAACCATAAGAAAAGACAAAAAAACAAAGAAGAAAAAAGAGTGTACCCCTTGATTTTTCTGTGTAATCGTCTCGAGCAATTGCTTTTGCTCCCAAAATCTCTGAATCTCTGGCTCTCTCGTCACGGAATTTGCCTTGAGACTGAATTTAGTCTGAGGCAATTCGATAGTCCCCTTGTAGCGTGAATCCGGTTGCTTCCCTAGAAGCACAAATCTACATCGAGCCATCGCCGAGAAAACTACACCCTTACCTGCATTCTTCGCGGCCGCGAGCACTGGCGATCGTGGGAAAGAATGTAAGCCAAGCATCGCCCCGGAAGAGCGCTCCCGCAATCCACGAGAGAAGAAGAACGCCGGAACGCCTACAGCTTCACATGACACGGATAACACAAAACCCTACGCTTGCGTGGCGTGAAAAATAGCGCTATGACATTGAAATGTGCCACAGTGGACAAAACAGGATTATGACATGGGGCGAGGGGAGGAACAAGGGAAGAACATGGGTGTTCAGCAAGAGTCGGGGCCTGGAAGCCCGCATTGCGGCGGGACCTTCCTCATTTTCTCGATTTCCACTCCTCTGGGTGGCTCCTTGATGATCGCGCACAGGCAGATCTTGCCGACCTTCTTGAGCTCCTCGCAACACGCAGCGCTGGGCTTGCCCGTCCCGGTCTTCGCATCCACGGCTGCGCGGCAATCTTGGAGCGCCTCGATCGCCCTGGCGGTATCGCACGACGAAGGAGGAGGAGGCGAATCCACGGCAGCTCCATCCGTCGCGATCGCGATGGCGAGCAGCATGATCCCTCCAGTCACAAAGATTCTGCTTAGCATTGCGTGATTTCAAAGACGATTCAGCGAAAAACCCAGTTACTCGTGATCGCGATCGCCATCATTTTAAAACTGGATTCGCGATTTCTAGAATCGCAGCGTACAGCGCAGGAGAAAAATGCCAATCACAGCCAAGACGTGATCTACCTGTGAGTATGAGCCGAGGTCTCCGACGTGGCAAAGTTCTGCCACGTGGCAGAATAGGTCTACATTCGAGTTTTAGGGTTTATGGAGGCTAGGGTTTTGGGTGCTCTTTGGGCCCTCTTCAGTCAAGCAGCGCTTGCGCCGCTCAATGGTGGAGTGTCTGCCGCAAGAGGGCGACATCGACGGCTTGCTGAAGATGATGCGAGGCGGCAGCATCGACAGCCTCGTCAATCATATAAGTACAGTCACATTTTTTGTTCTTGTGTAGAGTTTCTTCCTTCCTCTGGGATGATTCGAATCTAGATGACGAGTCTGATGCTAGCGCCATTGCTAATGAAGCATCGAACGAGGCATTTGTCTGAGAGGAGTGAGCAGGATTTGTGGTGCGTGCTGCCCGATGATGCTTTAAAAATCTTTGAGACCTGAAAACTTGGTAGCTTTTTGAGGCTGCCCTGAGTGGATAACTTGAAAATCCTGAGGGCATTGCTTGGGTTGGTTTCTTTCCTTTTTCTTGCGTTTTTGACCCGATTGCCCGCTTTTTTTCTCTGGGAAAATGTGTATTTTTCTTGCATGAGATAACTGAGCCTTGAATTACGGGTTTCTCTGACTTTTCCCAGATTGCATGCCGCGGCATGCGTGGTTAGCTTTGATCTTTGAGCACGACCTCGTTGACATGAGGTTTACGATTGAAGGGATCCATGTGATGTGTCTGAAGAACAAGAGTTTGAGTTTGAGTGTCTTTCTTCTTAAATGTGGCTCCATTTCTATCGCTCTTGTTTGTTAAATATACACTTTTCTCGTTTCGTTTCTTAACAGTCCATTCAACGTGCCTCGACCGCTGCCGTGTAGACGAAGAGGATATTGGTGCTGCTCTTGTGTCGTTGCTGGTACTGTATAAATACTTTTGGTTTGTTTGGTGGAGGTTTTAAGCCCCTCTTTCTCTTCTTTTGTGCAGTTCAAGGCGCCGGGACAAAGCGGTGGGAGAAAGGACACGGAGGTTTTTAACGAAAGGCGTGTTGCGGAAAAGAGTTGCGAAGTTTGGTGTGCGTTAGAAAAGGCCGAGGGGGTCCTCCGTCGTCGTTCATGGCACCCTCTACTATCTCTGATTTGCCAATCGGTCCAGCGCCCGTGTCTGTCAAGTATACCAAGCTCTTCATCGACGGCCAGTTTGTCGATGCTGTCTCCGGTACATTCGACCGTTTTCGTAAGATGATGTTGTGGGACTAAGAGCTCTGTGCTTTACAGGAAGGACTTTCGAAACTTTGGATCCCCGGAATGGAGAAGTGATCTCGAAAGTAGCCGAGGCAGATAAGCAGGATGTTGATGTCGCCGTGAAGGCCGCTCGAAAAGCTTTTGATCATGGGCCCTGGCCCAGACTGTCTGGATATGTGAGTAGAATGTTTAGTCTATGTTGTCTGATGGGTATTCTCGCTTCGCTTTGTCTCAGGCCAGGGGGCGAATCCTTCTCAAGTTTGCGGATTTGTTGGAGCATCATTTTGACGAGCTCGCAGCACTCGAGACTCTGGACAATGGAAAGCCATTGGACCTGGTGAAGTATGTGGACTTGCCAATGGCCCTTCGGCTTCTTCGTTCGTTCGCAGGTAGAATGCTACACTCTAAACGGTAAAGAGCCTGAGCTCCTTGTACAGGTTTCGCTGACAAAATCTGTGGCAAGACCGTGAAAATCGATGGGCCTTACCACGCGTACACTCTTCTCGAGCCGATTGGTGTCGTGGGCCAGATCATCCCATGGAACTTCCCGCTCATCATGTTTTTCTTGAAAATCAGCCCCGCGCTTGCTGCTGGCAACACAATTGTCTTGAAGACTGCCGAGCAGACTCCCTTGAGTGCTCTCTTTTGTGCAAGCCTGCTGAAGGAGGTCTGTAGATTTTCTCGTTTGTGCTGTTGATCTCTTACTGGAGTTCGTGAATCTGTGCTGCAGGCTGGATTGCCTCCCGGCGTCCTGAACATCCTCTCTGGCTTCGGCCCAACGGCGGGAGCTGCTATCTCTAGTCACAACGATGTGGACAAGGTAACGAATGGAAACTTCGGGTTTCTCTCGGGCGCTCACAAGGATATCGTGTTGCAGATTGCATTCACCGGCTCGACGGACGTGGGAAAACTTGTCATGGAGGCAGCTGCGAAGAGCAACCTCAAGGCCGTCAGTCTGGAACTGGGAGGGAAGTCCCCCATGATAGTACTGGACGATGCAGATGTTGATGTAGCTGTCGAGCTAGCACATTTAGCGCTCTTCTTTAATGTGGTAAGTTATCGTCAACAGTTCTTTCGTCGGTTCTTTCGTCGGGCCTTTCGTCGGTGCCTTTGGATTTACAAGCGGGAATTTCAGGGCCAGTGCTGCGTGGCGGGGTCTCGTGTATTTGTCCAGGAAGGTATCTACGACGAGTTTTTGAGAAAGGCTGCAGACCGTGCAAAGAGACGGGTGACAGGTGACTCCTTCCAAAGTGGCGTCGATCACGGGCCTGTGGTACGAAAGATTTATAATGCGAGCTCATAGCAAGAAAACTAAGCACGGTGGATTGCACAGGTTGACCAGCAACAGTTTGACAGAGTGCTTGGCTACGTGGAGATTGGAAAGCGCGAGGGAGCGAGGCTGGTTACTGGCGGGTGCCGCATTGGTTCTCGCGGTTTTTACATCGAGCCAACAATCTTTGCCGATGTCGAGGTAACACAATTCTCTCTTTGCAAAAGAGATCTTTTATCACCTCTTTTTTTTGGTGTTCTTTCTAACTGATTGATTGCCTCGGCAGGATTACATGAGAATCGCCAGGGAAGAGATTTTCGGGCCGGTGATGTCGGTACTCAAATTCAGGTAGCAAATCAAACTTACTAGATTTTCTCGAGAATTCTACTTCTTTCTTTACACTTTTCTCGCCTTCCAGAACAATAGACGAGGTGATCCAACGAGCCAACGACACAGCCTATGGTCTCGCGGCAGGGATAGTAACCAAGGACCTCAACTCGGCCAACCGATTGACGCGGTCCTTGAGAGCCGGGACGGTGTGGATCAATTGCTACCACGTCTTCGACCCGGCACTTCCATTCGGTGGCTACAAGATGAGTGGGATTGGACGAGAAAATGGCAAGCAGGTCTTGTACCAATACTCCCAGGTTAAGTCGGTTGTGACTCCGGTGGAGTCGCCATGGCTGTAGATCTTTGGCACCTCTTCGTCGCTATGAAAGTGGTACTAGTTCCTGAGTTTTTTTTCTTTCTTTTCCTTGGGGGAGGGAAGGCTCTAATCGTATGATCCAGAGATTGCGTTGCGGGAACGATAGCGCACGCTACCTACCGTGCCCGCATTCGTGCAAGCCAGGAATGCATGGGGTCATTTAAAGAAGTATCTCCAAAAGGGAGGAGTGTGAAGCCCATGTAAAGATATAGTAATGAGGAAAAAATTTGTAGGAAACTTATTGTCGTTTGAGCGGAATCAAGCGAGCGAGGAGCGGAGAAAGTGGATCTTGCATAAAAACCATAGATGTCCACTCAAACGAAAAATCGTCGTCCAACGCACGGTGGCAATGATCATAGACTGAATGAAATTCTCAAAAATATCGTCGTCGTAAAATATCTACTCTCATATTGCAAATTAGGGTTTACACTGTACTGCCTATGCTCATGAAAGGGTTATAGGAAACCCTAGCGAGCTCATGGGTTAGAGGAATAACAAACAAGCATGGATTTCAGTTGGAGAAGCAGTCCATGAAGCCGATCAATCCAAGCCGGCAATGCTTTGCAGGAAAAATCTATGGCTTGAGGCTCATAGTGGCGGTCCATGCCCCAGCAGGTGAGCTCAGTTTTCATAGATGCTTTAGTGAGTTCCATGCCTCGCAGGTGATTTCTACAGCTTCATCGGATGCTTCAGCGAGTTCCACCATGTCTTCGTGGAGAAAGCTCTTCCGGCGCACCTCGGTATCAAAGATTACGCCCGGATTCTCGGTGAGGAGCTTGCGACGTTCGCTGAGACGTATCACCGTCTCCTGCCACCACCCCGCAAGATGGAATCCATGCATGATGCTCTCGAGGTTCTGGAGGAAATCCGGCAGGATGCACGCGATTGGGAGAGCGACGTCGCCAAGCTCTATCCAGTTTTTGTTCTTCTCCCGGTGAACTTTTTGCCTGGGAACGATGGCACGCTTGGCAACTGCAGTGGCATCATTGACGACACCGAGGAGCCCGATGGTGTTCCCATGGACGAGCTGTGTGCGGAGCTGATTGATCCAACTAAACTTCCAATCTTCACTGTCACTTGGGACGTGAGCTTGCGCAGCGACAAGGAGAAATTTGTGAGGCTGTCCGAGTATGAGAAGAGAGGCCATCTTGTGCTCATCGTGAGACCTCCAAGCTTCCATCTTCCAACTTCTTGTCCAAGGTGCCTTTCCACATACCTATATCTATGCCTCGCCAAGAAGCCATTCATCGTCGAGCACTCCAATGCTGGTATTTCCTTCTTTTCTTTCTGTAGGATTATCATTAATGGTTTTTTTCTAGACAACCTCCACTTCCCTATAATCGACTGGAACCTATTAACTGCGTTTGGCAATGACGTAGATAAGTTTTTGCAATCAACAGTGATGTGCGACTTGGATGTTGGGCTCAGTGAGGCTGAGGCTGCTAAGTTTCAGTCCTTGAGGCCACTGTTCATGGATCTTGATGATGCTCTTGACTTGGAGCTATGGACCAAATGCCAATCCAAGAGAAAGAGTTCTTGGTTTTCTTCTGATGTAGTTGGAGGAGAAATCTAAACTTCACACTTGTCATGGCCGATCAACAAGCTAGTGGCATGGACAAGGAAAGCCAAAACAATGAGTGGTATCAACTGGGGGAACTCTCAAGCCAGACAAACAAAGGTAACAAGAGTTCTTTATAATTGAAATTTTGAAATCACCATGTGTCATTTCAGATCTATGGTCGAGCATTGCGTGCTTACAAGGATATTTCCTTGGTAATACAAGTGAACAAGGATCCTATAAGTTACAATGTAGGCTTTCATTCTTTTTCTAAGATCTTTCCTTGGTTTCTAGGTGGCTGACAAGCCTTGATGCAATGCTCATCACTCACATTCTATTTGTGAAGTGCATTTCTCTTGTAAGTACTAAAAGCATATGATTTTTCTCTATGATTCCTATTGCGTTTCATGCTCTCAGGAGAACTCTATTTTACGTGCTGCACTCTGGGTCTTTCCTTCAGTTAATATTCAAGACCCAGACTCAGAACCCTCATTTTCCTATAGCACCATACATGGGAGGTTAAATTCACTCTATTTATTTTTCATATCCTTTTTATCCCCTCTTCTTGAAAAAGAAAAAAGTTTTAAAGCATTAGTTTTAGTTGGATTTATTATATTAATCTTTACTCTGCCATTTATATTGAACTTCACTCCACTATCATATTTGTTTAGGTTTACTACATAAGGTTGTATATTCTATTAGGACTTAGTTATATTCATTCTCACTCCACAATTTATATTATTTATCATCACTTCATTATTGTATTTGTTCATCCTCACTCCATCGTTAGGATTGGACTCCCATCCATCCTCTCTTTCGAAGAAAAAAAAGTTTCAAGCATTTAAGTAAATAATAGAAAGTGAAAAAAATTAAAGAAGTAAAAGAAAGAAAAGTGGATGAAGAAGAATTTTTAATAGTTGTTAATGCAAAAATGGGGAAATAAAAAGAAGAACATTAGTAATAAAAGTTAAAAATTACCTGTATATATACTTGGCCTTAGCTCCGGCTGAAAAATATCACTAAACTATATATTATTGGCAAATGCTAGCCAATAGGAGCAAAGATCCTACTATAGGATTCAATTAAAGATAAGCCTTGCTTGATCTAAATGCCTGTGTTGGGCAAGCACTGTGATGAGGTGTGTTTAGGAGATGAGATTACGTTTTGGCATAACAAAAAAAGCATAAAGGAATTCCTTTATATCAAGTTCCACATCACTATAAATTTGCTCACAACATTTTCAATTTGCCGAGCAAGGTATGGCAAGCTCACACTTTCCTCTCAGGTACCAATCAATTCTACTATTGTGTTTAAAATTTAGAAAATAAAAGACTTCTTGTCATAAAATGCTTTAGTCACCATAATATAATCAAAAGATTCACATTAACACACAATTCAACATTTGAAATAAGAAAATCAATAAAAATATCCACACTCTCAAGTGAACACATAAGTTCTTCAGCAAAAATGATAAAGTATAAGCTCTCAATGGGACTCACAAATGGGGATATGCACTCAACTCGAAACTCTAGCCAAAGTGACTCAATCTTTAAAACACTAAAACTGATCAAAGACTTTACTAACAAAACAAAATCAAGATTCTCAACTACACGCATATGCTTAACATTTAAATTAGTATAAGGAAGACAAAAAACATTTAACTCAACACTAGATTGAGAATGATAATCATAAAAGTGGAGAAGAAAACACTATAGATGAGGAAAGAACACTAGGAATATAAGAAAATAGCTCAAGCTAAGAAATAAAAAAAAAGTTAAGAAAGAGTAAAAGGTAAAGGCAAAGGATTAGATGGTAGATTAAAGGGTTGATACTTACCTTGCAAAATCTTTAATTTTTTCCAAAGTTATCTCCATAATAATAAATTTTCTTATCACAATCCAAAATCCATTCAATCATATAAATTCAATCTTTGAACATTCTCCAATAACCAAATTATATCATTTATATCTCTTTAATTGATATCATAATCACATTCTATATCATATAACAAAACACCAAGAATAGAAAAAGCTATGTAATCACATCTCATGAAAGCTAGAGATCACAATATTCTAAGAACAAGTATCACACCAATATAATCACACCCTATAACACTAAAAGCTTAATTCAACAAAGCAATATTAATAACCTCAAGTGTGACGTGGCATAGTGGAAAAAAAGAATGTAATAAAGATCAGAAGGAAAAATAAATCTAAGCACAATAATAGCTAGAATTTTAGATTTGGCAAAAAGCTAATATAAATCTAAATGTAGTAAAGAAAGAAAGGAATAGAAACAAAAATACAATCCCAAATACTGAAGTAAAGCACTTTCAAAAATACTTTACCCTCCAGGGACAGATTACAATACCCATTATCTCCATTAATGTGAGTGTTTATGATATGGAAATAAGTATAGTAATGGAGGTTTAGACCCTGTTTATATATAATAATAGATGGACCAAATTCAATTCCAAATGAATAGTCAATATGTTATAGTACTATAATTAGCATATTACCTTATACATACATGCATATAATATATCTATCTATCTATCCATCCATCCATCTATTTATATATATATATATACACATATATATACATATATATACATATACATATACACATATACATATATATACATATACATATATATATATATATATATATATATATATATATATATATATATATATATATATATATATATATATATATATATATATATATATATATATATATATATATATATATATATATATATATATATATATATATATATATATATATATATATATATATATATATATATATATAATATCTTTGTGTGTGTGTGTGCGTGTGTGTGTGTGTGTGTGTATGTGTGTGTGTGTATATACACACCTTATAACACGCATTATAGAATATTAATTATCTATCTACAATTTTCTAATTAATTTTTCTCACTTTGGTGTAATATATGATGGATTCTTTTAATACACTTGGCCCTCACAACTTTAGTATACATAATAGCTTTCTTGAATTCTTGCATCATATGTCTTATTCCCAAACCATTAAGATTTATGCAAATCCAAATTTAAAATTTAGAAATTATTCAGTTACAAAAATATTTCAAAAAAAGCGTAGTTATAATAAGATCTGAAATAATTCGTATATGCAAATAAAGAAGAATATGTAATAAATAATTTTTAAATTTAAATATGTTAACATCTTAATTGTACCATTTCATTATGGATAAAATTTTATTACAGGATCATTTAATGTTTTATTAGCAATAAGTTTTTTATGTGATTCTCCAGATTTTAACTATATTAAACTATAATGTGAGAACTTCCAATATGAAAAAATTATATAGGAAAATGTTTCACTATATAACCATGTTTATATAACCATGTTTCACTATATACATGTGTATATAGTGACATAAACATGGTTATAACATACATGGTTATAACCATGTTTATATAACCATGTTTCACTATATAAATGGTTATGTAATAATTTTCTTAAAATATTTAATAACCACATGCTAATCTATATGAGTTATTAAAACTAATGTAAAATAATTATATTATGGGTGTGCTACAGTAATATTTCCTAAATATATTAAATAATTTTCTATAGTAATGCTTGGTTTGCTCAATAGTAATGTTATTATTACTTATTAATCCAATTGATCAAATAAATGTCTATAATTATAAACATGCTAATAATCTATAAACACAAGATTAATCTTATTGCATATCAACCATTACATGGTAGAATAAAAAGGAATACACTAGAAAGTGTTTAAGAAAAACACTTATATGTTTATAAGTTATAAATATATATATACATTATATATTTATACATTTATAAGTTATAAATAAGTTATAAATAAGTGAAGTTTATATATGTTTATAAATTATAAATACAAGATTTCCATTAAATGGTAAGATATCCTAGAATATTTAATCATATTTTAAATATATTCACTAATTTTTTTAATCAAACCAAAAAACTATAGAAAAATCTGACAGGAAAACCCAAAAATTTGAGCTTAACATATACAAAATGAATAGGGTTAGGGTTCTTAATTTACTAGAAAGATGCTTGCCCCGAGAGCTAGCACGATGCGAAGGATCTTGTGTGAGCTCGTGGTAGCGGCATGGGCACGGCAATCTCTGTGCGCGG